TGGTACCCCTTGAAATTTTCCACATTTTGTCAAGTTACAACCAAAAACATTGGTTTCTGTGATAGACCAATCTCTGCAGCTCCTCCAGAGTTACCATGGGCCTTTTGGCTGCTTCTCTTATTAATGCTCTCTTTGCCCGGCCTGTCAGTTTAGGTGGACGGCCATGTCTTGGTAGATTTGCAGTTGTGCCATACTCTTTCCATTTTCGGATGATGGATTAAACAGTACTCCGTGGGATGTTCAAGGCTTGGGATATTTTTTTTTATCCTAACCCTGCTTTAAACTTCTCCACTTCCTGACATGTCTTATGTGTTCCTTGGCCTTCATGATGCTGTTTGTTCACTAATGTTCTCTAGAAAACCTCTGAGGGCTTCACAGAACAGCTGTAGGTATACTCAGATTACATTACACACAGGTGGACTCTATTTACTAATTAGGTGACTTCTGAAGGCAGCTGGTTCCACTAGATTTTAGTTACGGGTATCAGAGTAAAGGGAGCAGAATACAAATGCACGCCACACTTTTCAGATATTTATTTGTAAAGAATTTTGAAAACCATTTATCATTTTCCTTCCACGTCACAATTATGTGCCACTTTGTGTTGGTCTATCACATATAATCCCAATAAAATACAATTGAGTTTTTGGTTGTAACATGACAAAATGTTCAAAATTTCAAGGGGTATGAATATACTTTTTCAAGGCATTGTACGAGCCACCGAAAATTATCGCCCGAAATCAGGGTTATCTGCATTTTGCCAATAATGATAATTGACTTCAATGCAAAAAAACGCTCCCCATTGACTTCAACACTGCATGGAGAATGCATGGAGGTAAAAAATCTTGAGCCTTTACAACCACTTTAAAGTGTTACTAAACCCAGGACCCTGCATTTGCTGTATCTGGTCTCCCACAGTACACAGAACATGGAAATGCAATGATTTTAGTAGATATAAACTGCAGAATACCTTTTCTCATCAGCTATTAGAGCAGTCTTGTTACTTCTATCAGTGTCCAGGAGAGCACTGGTTAAAGCTTGTATGAAGAGTTTTAATTTTGCTCTAGGAGGATGCAGAACCCCTGACCTCTGTCTGGACAGTGCTGATTGGCCGTGCTGATCACATGCACTCTCCCAAGTAAAAAAAAAACCTCTCTACCAACACACACCAAACTGAGCATGTGCAGAGTGACTCCACACGATATGTCTTTTCAGGAGATAAGAGGGGGCGACACAAAGAAGGGGAGAATAAGAGAAATCAGGATCAAACAGTGTTTTTACACAGTGCAGAGGATTAACCCCTAAGCATAACAAGAATACTTTACTGCAGATACAGACTGATTTTACTGTTGTGGGTTTAGTAACACTGTAATGAAGGAAAAGTGCAATGACAACACCACACCTGTAAGGGCTCGTTCACAATGATGTACAATTGTGTACACACATGCAAGAAAAGTGTTCACCTGCAAAGGTGTTCCATGCATTCCCATTCATTTCAATTGGGACGCAACATGCACAGTTACAACCACTGCTCCCACTTTGACAGCTGTGTGGGAGTAGGTGCACTGCCCCAACGCGCACTGCCCGCACGGCTGTTCAACTGGGAGCAGAGGCAGTTTCCTTGCAGCTGCTGCATCCCAACTGACATGAATGGTACTGCCTGCATAAGGATGCATGGAACACCTGGGCATCCCTATGTGGGTAAAAACACAGCCCTTGGATGGGCGTATACTGCAGTACACCAGTGTGAACGAGGGCTGATCCATTCATACTCCCTCCTGCTCTGCTACTGAAGGTCCCAGTACAGAGCAGGGGCTGGAGGACAGAACACTGCACCCATAATCCACTGCAATACTTTGCAGGCTCCAATGCAATGAAATAATAATTGCACATGTTTGCAATATAGCTGCATTTATTATTTATTTGCAAAAGGTTTTGACTGAAAGGATACGGGGGGAGGGTCTGAGCGACAGAAGGGATACGGACGGGGGGGGGGCTGAGCGACAGGAGGGATATCGGGGGGGGGGTCTGAGCGACAGGAGGGCAGAAAGGATACGGGGGGGGTCTGAGGGACAGAAGGGACACGGAGGGGGGGGGGTCTGAGCGACAGAAGGGATACGGGGGGAGGAATGGGGGGTCTGTCTGAGCGACAGAAGGGATACGGGGGGGGGTCTGAATGACAGAAGGGATACGGGGGGGGTCCGAGCGACAGAAGGGATACGGGGGGGGGTCCGAGCGACAGAAGGGATACGAAGGGGGGGGTCTGAGCGACAGAAGGGATACGGGGGGGGGGGGGGGGGGGGGAAGGGTGTGAGCGACAGAAGGGATACGGGGGGGAGTCTGAGCGACAGAAGGGATACGGGGGGGGGGTCTGAGCGACAGAAGGGATACGGGGGGGGGGGGGGGGTCTGAGCGACAGAAGGGATACGGGGGGGGGGGGTCTGAGCGACAGAAGGGATACGGGGGGGGGGGGGGGGTCTGAGCGACAGAAGGGATACGGGGGGGGGGGGGGGGGGGTCTGAGCGACAGAAGGGATACTGGGGGGGGGGGGGTCTGAGCGACAGAAGGGATACGGGGGGGGGGGGGTCTGAGCGACAGAAGGGATATACGGGGGGGGGGTCTGAGCGACAGAAGGGATACGGGGGGGGGGGGACCCTGAGCGACAGAAGGGATACAGGGGGGGATCTGAGCGACAGAAGGGATACGGGGGGGGGGGGAGGGACAGGGGGGGGGGGGGTCTGAGCGACAGAAGGGATACGGGGGGGGGGGTCTGAGCGACAGAAGGGTTACGGGGGGGGGGTCTGAGCGACAGAAGGGTTACGGGGGGGGGGTCTGAGCGACAGAAGGGTTACGGGGGGGGGGGGGTCTGAGCGACAGAAGGGTTACGGGGGGGGGGGTGTCTGAGCGACAGAAGGGTTACGGGGGGGGGGGGTCTGAGCGACAGAAGGGTCTGAGCGACAGAAGGGTTACGGGGGGGGGGGTCTGAGCGACAGAAAGGTTACGGGGGGGGGGGGGGTTGAGCGACAGAAGGGTTACGGTGGAAGGGGGTCTGAGCGACAGAAGGGTTACGGTGGGGGGGGGGGGGGGGGGTCTGAGCGACAGAAGGGTTACGGGGGGGGGGGGTCTGAGCGACAGAAGGGTTACGGGGGGGGGGGGTCTGAGCGACAGAAGGGTTACGGTGGGGGGGGGTCTGAGCGACAGAAGGGTTACGGTGGGGGGGGGTCTGAGCGACAGAAGGGTTACGGGGGGGGGGAAGGGGGGGGGTCTGAGCGACAGAAGGGTTACGGTGGGGGGGGGGGGTCTGAGCGACAGAAGGGTTACGGTGGGGGGGGGGGGTCTGAGCGACAGAAGGGTTACGGTGGGGGGGGGGGGTCTGAGCGACAGAAGGGTTACGGTGGGGGGGGGGGGGGTCTGAGCGACAGAAGGGTTACGGTGGGGGGGGGGGGGGTCTGAGCGACAGAAGGGTTACGGTGGGGGGGGGGGGGGGGGGGGTTCTGAGCGACAGAAGGGTTACGGTGGGGTGGGGGGGGGGGGGGGTCTGAGCGACAGAAGGGTTACGGTGGGGGGGGGGGGGCTGAGCGACAGAAGGGTTACGGTGGGGGGGTGTCTGAGCGACAGAAGGGTTACGGTGGGGTGGGGGGGGGGGGGTCTGAGCGACAGAAGGGTTACGGTGGGGGGGGGTGGGCCTGAGCGACAGAAGGGTTACGGTGGGGGGGGGGGGGGTCTGAGCGACAGAAGGGTTACGGTGGGGGGGGTCTGAGCGACAGAAGGTTTACGGTGGGGGGGGTCTGAGCGACAGAAGGGTTACGGTGGGGGGGGGGGGGGGGGTCTGAGCGACAGAAGGGTTACCGGTGGGTGTGGGGGTGTCTGAGCGACAGAAGGGTCACGGTGGGTGGGGGTGTCTGAGCGACAGAAGGGTTACGGTGGGGGGGGGGGGGGTCTGAGCGACAGAAGGGTTACGGTGGGGCGGGGGGGTCTGAGCGACAGAAGGGTTACGGTGGGGGGGGGGGGTCTGAGCGACAGAAGGGTTTCGGGGGGGGGGGGTGGGTCTGAGCGACAGAAGGGTTACGGTGGGGGGTTTGAGCGACAGAAGGGTTCCGGGGGGGGGGGGTTGTCTGAGCGACAGAAGGGATACGGAGGGAGGGGGGCTGAGCGACTGACGGGATACGGGGGAGGGGGGCTGAGCGACTGACGGGATACGGGGGAGGGGGGCTGAGCGACTGACGGGATACGGGGGAGGGGGGCTGAGCGACTGACGGGATACGGGGGGAGGGGGGCTACGCGACTGACGGGACGGGGGGGGGGGGCTGAGCGACTGACGGGACACGGGGGGGGGGGCTGAGCGACTGACGGGACACAGGGGGGACTGAACGACTGACGGGACACGGGGGGGACTGAACGACTGACGGGACTGACGGGAACTGGGGGGGCTGAACGACTGACGGGAACTTACGGGGGGGGCTGAACGACTGACGGGATACGGGGGGGGCTGAACGACTGACGGGATACGGGGGGGCTGAACGACTGACTGACGGATACGGGGGGGGCTGAACGACTGACGGGATACGGGGGGGGCTGAACGACTGACGGGATACGGGTGGGGGGGGCTGAACGACTGACGGGATACGGGGGGGGGGCTGAGTGACCGACGGGATACGGGGGGGCTGAGCGACTGACAGGCAGAGTGTAGGGTTGCCACTTCCTTCTCTTTTAAAAACCGAACACATACTGATTACACAGGTTCTGTGGCTGATTACGGTGGTCATTAAACTCACTTTGTGCCTTACCTGCAATAAACATGCCTCAGAACCTGTGTAATTCATACGTGTTTGGTTTTAAGGGGATGAGGTGACAACCCTAGCAAGGAGTCTGGGTTGTCTGGGGATGTAGACACATATGGGGAGGATGCTGGAGGTGTACACACAGCCTGGAGCAGGGAGGACAGAACCGAGGGGTGTCCACACACACAGAGCCCCCTCCCTCATACACGGACAGGTACTCACAGTGTGACCCGGGACACATGGATGTTTACAGGCACCACTCGCTCTTTGAAGGCGGTAGTAATGAAGCAGCCGAAGGTGAGTGCAGCCATCACACTGAGGGAGAAGGCGAAGAGGGAATTGGCCCGGGACAGAACGGTGTTCATGGTGCTGAGATGACAGGGCCGGACGGACACAGCTCTTCCTGTCACTGGGTACCAGCGAAGCCGGGGCTCATACACAGGAAGCCGGGCTAACGCTGAGCTGTCTGTCTGAGCCGAGCGGACCTCCGTACAACCTCACTTCCGCCCGGGCTTTACGTACACGTAAGGATCCTCAGTTCATATGACTGAAGGCGCTGCGCCATCTTGGAATTGGCGGGCTGACTGACTATCCATACGTGTGGTAGTTGTGTGCTCTGACGGACTCTCTTGCAGTTCTGCTTTGGTAGACAATGTAACTACAAAGACGACTAATTATCATCTGAGGGTTAAACTGGTTACATTTGTGTCAGTGTGGACGGCCGGGGACAATACCTCATTTGTATAGTGTTTAAAGCTGATCTCCATATTTACATGGATTTAAAAGGAGACATTTTTATGTTCATTTTTGATAAGAGTAATGGTCTACACACGATGAAATTGTACGAAAATGTTCATATGAGGACTGATTGGCCAATAATCTGATCATAAGTACACAGCTTTCAAGAGCCAATCACGACAATTCATGTGACAATATCTAAAGGGACACACATGACATTTTTACCGTACCAGATGACATATAATACCAGATTGTATAATTTTTATTTAATCAGTACAGTGGTTACTGTATTTTTCGCTCCATAAGACGCACTTTTTTCCCCCCAAAAAAATGGGGAAAGTGTGCATCTTATGGAGTGGTCGGCCCGATATTCCCGATTGCGCCATGTTAGAATACCGGGCCAGACACTCAGCTCTTCTGTGCAGCAGAACCTGCTCCTCGGTCCAGCGGTGTGTTCACTGTCTTCTCTCCCCGGCTCTGGCATCTTTAGTGTGGGCACCCGGCTTTGACAGCCCCTTCCACTCTCCAAAGGTCTGCAGTCTCTGGTCGTCACCTGTACTGTGTCCGCAGTCTCTGGTCGTCACCTGTACTGTGTCCGCAGTCTCTGGTCGTCACCTGTACTGTGTCCGCAGTCTCTGGTCATCACCTGTACTGTGTCCGCAGTCTCTGGTCGTCACCTGTACTGTGTCCGCAGTCTCTGGTCGTCTCCTGTACTATGTGCGCAGTCTCTGGTCGTCTCCTGTACTGTGTCCGCAGTCTCTGGTCATCTCCTGTACTGTGTCCGCAGTCTCTGGCCGTCTCCTGTACTATGTGCGCAGTCTCTGGTCGTCTCCTGTACTGTGTCCGCAATCTCTGGCCGTCTCCTGTACTATGTGCGCAGTCTCTGGCCGTCTCCTGTAGTATGTCCGCAGTCTCTGGTCGTCACCTGTACTGTGTCCGCAGTCTCTGGTCGTCTCCTGTACTGTGTGCGCAGTCTCTGGTCGTCTCCTGTAGTATGTCCGCAGTCTCTGGTCGTCACCTGTACTGTGTCCGCAGTCTCTGGTCGTCTCCTGTACTGCGTCCGCAGTCTCTGGTCGTCTCCTGTACTGCGTCCGCAGTCTCTGGTCGTCACCTGTACTGTGCCCGCAGTCTCTGGTCGTCTCCTGTACTGTGTCCGCAGTCTCTGGCCATCTCCTGTAGTATGTCCGCAGTCTCTGGTCATCTCCTGTACTGTGTCCGTAGTCTCTGGTCATCTCCTGTACTATGTCTACAGTCCATTGGTTCAGAATATTTCTTTTCTTGTTTTCCTCCTCTAAAACCTAGGTGCATCTTATGGTCAGGTGCATCTTATGGAGTGAAAAATAGGGTACATAGTCTGGCTGAAGAAAAGACAAAAGTCTATCCAGTTCAACCACTAAAAAAAAAAAAAGTTATAATCCTATACCCACAGTTGATCCAGAGGAAGGCAAAAAACCCCAGCAAAGCATGATCCAATTTGCTCCTGCAGGGGAAAAAATTGCTGAGGCAATCAGATATTCCCTGCATCAACTTTACCTATAAATGTTAGTATCCAGTTATATTCTGTGTATCTAAGAAACAATCCAGGCCTTTTTTTTAAAGCAATCCACTGAGCTGACCAGAACCAACTCTTGAGGGAGCCTATTCCACATTCTCACAGCTCTCACTGTGAAGAAACCTTTCTGTGTTTGGAGACTAAATTTCTTCCAGAAGTAAAGAGTGCCCCCTTGTCCTCTGTGATGACCTCAGGGTGAATAACTCTACACTGAGTTCACTATATGAACCACTGATGAACTTATACATGTTGTTTGAAAATACAATACATGACATCGATTTCTAAATTCTTTTCTTTCGTACAAGAATTTTCATAAGTTTAGTATAGTCCCCTTTATTCCTGCTCTAGGGACAACCCAAAATATGGGATTTTCATTTACTTTCATTTCAAACTGACAGGTGTAATCCTTCTATCCAAAAGTAAAAAAATGTTTTCCTTTAGAGATACTTTAACTGCTTCACCTCTGCTCTATAGCAGGAATACTGTTACAGGGCGGCAGGGGTGTGCAAAATCACACACGTGTATATATATATATATATATATATATATATATATATATTGTGAGAACTCGCTTCAAAATGGTAGAGCTTCTTCAAAGCACACAGCAACTCGCTTCTTTTTAAGGGCCTTTTTGCCCAATTTTATTTGAAAGAAAAAGTTCCTTAAATCTTCCCAGGCAGGGGTATCCACATCAAACAAATGCAAATGATATTCAGCCTTCTGGCTGGTACACCGATTTCCATCTGTCTACTGCAGACTCTATCCAAAAATGGCTTCCCCGCACACAGCTAGCCAATCGCACACAGCTTGTCTGGCTTCCACCTCTACTAGGTGAAGCCCACCTGACTCCAAGGCAGAGACCTCCTGTCTGCCGAAGAGTAGCCCTCCTGACTCCTGTCTGCCGGGGTGGAGCCCTCCTGTCTGCTGGGGTGGAGCTCAGAATCATGACCTGGCCTCCACAAAAAGACCCGCACACACCTGTGCAATCATCGCGCTGGCTGCTCTCAAAATATGGGCCCAGGATTGGAGATTTCATCCCTCCCAAATCTCTTAGAAATCTCCAGGCTACAGGTCCCAAAACAGGCTTTACAAACCAAAGAGGAAACGTATAAACCAGTTACCTCTGCATTATGAGAACTGCCTGGAGCCCCTCAACCTGTATGGTTGAGAATCCTGGGTCCCCATCATGATTTCCACTGTGGCAGGATACCGCACTGCGCATTCAATATACGCTTCTGGTAAGTGCATACTTCGACTGGTTTCTCGTCATCCGAAGTCACCAGTACGGAGCACAGATCTATTTCACCATTCAGACTTATGCCACTTACTTGAATTTTCCATACTTGTCACTTAGTGTGTTGCTCTTGCTATATTTAAGCGTCACTACTGGATGCAGTCACTATTTCACTGTAGAAGTGCCTCAACAGCGCCCACTGTTTAGTACCATCTTTTATTTTTTACTACCTACCTTTTACGATTTTTACTATCTATTACTTAGCGCTGCATATTATTATTCTATATACTGTCTTTTAGAGGTGCAGAGGTTTGCCTTTTTTTTATGCTAGCTGCTTATTATCTACTGTGCGCATGCAACTACCTCTATTTACACATATATATATGTATATATATATATGTGATTTTGCAGTTCCGGGTAGGGATTGCGCGCACCTCGGCCTCGGCTGTCAATCACCAGGTCCCAGTAGGTGATTACTCGCCGTCACCCGGTGATCACCGAGTATCTCTGATGGGGGAGAGACCTGTATTTAAACAATACAGACCTCTCCCCTGTCAGCTCCTGCACACTGCTTTGTAATGTTCTGCATAGCAGAGCCATACAAAACAGTGTACTTACAGTGAAACACACACAGCCCATGTAGTAAAACAACACACAGTCAACCCTTTGATCGCCCCACATGTTAACCCCTTCCTGCCCAGTGCCATTAGTACAGTGTTAGTGCTTTTTATTAGCACTGATCACTGTATTGGTGTCACTGGGGATGTCAGCGACACCAAATTAGTTCCCCCCAGTGTTAGAATGCCTGCCGCAGTCCCGCTATAAGTCGCTGATTGCCGCCATTACTAGTAGAAAAAAAAATTCCAGTATCTATACCGCCATTTGTGAATGCTATAACTTTCACATAAACCAATTAATTTACACATATTGGGATTTTTTTTAGCAAAGACATGCAATAGCAAAAAGTCAAAAATACTGTTTTTTCTCAAAATTTTGTTTTTTTTTGTTTATAGTGCAAAAATATAAAAACCGCAAAAGCGATCAAATACCACCGAAAGAAAGTTCTATTTGTGGAAAAAAAGGTGCAGTGTTGCATGACTGCTCAATTGTCAGTTAAAGTAACGCAGTGCCGTTAAAAAATGGCCTGGTCAGAAAGGGGGGGGGGTGAATCCTCTGGAGGGCAAGTGGTTAAAGTGAAACTTTAACCAGAAAATTAAGTCCTGCTAGATCACTCCAGGCTGGCCTATTTTGGAGTTATAGCTATATAACATTATTAATAAGTGTCTATACTGTTTAAAATCTAGTAATACACTGACTCACCCTGTTCTGCACATGCTCATTTGCTCTCTATTTTGTGTCACTGCCAAAAATGTAGAGGTCAGTCTGCTGACAGCCTAAAAATCTACTGCTGCTCAGAGACTGTGGGCTTCAGCAAAATGGTAGTCTCCAGTAAGAAGAAACCACAATAATGCTGGAGGTAATTTACACCATACACTAATTTTGGAAGGATAATTATTAATGTGGAATGTATGTTCCTTGATCAAGAACATTATTTTTATCAAGTAAAATTCCACTTTAAATTGAGGTTTAAATTGGGCAAAAGTGCTCATTGAAAGTAAAAGAAATGCCAACTTTTGGGTCGTCCTGAGACAAGGAAATCTTCTAATAAGGACATTTGTTCTGACAACCAGGTATTCCCTCACTTTGGAGGGATTTCCACTTCCAGTTTTGGCTTTGGGATAGGAAGTGAAGGGAAATCTCCCCAGCGGGACACAGGTGACAAAACTGATAGGGGTTAAAACTAGAGATGTAAAATTTCCAGAAATTTTGAATCTATAGAAAAATAAATGCAGTGTGTACATAAGTATTATGCCTGAAATAAAAAGTTTATTCAGTAAATAAACTAAACTTGCTTTTTACAATTTTATTTTTTTAAATTACAAATGGAGTTACAAGGACTGTAGATGATAAGAACATTTCAACTATACATGAGAACAGGTAACCCCCCCCCCCCCTTTCCCTTATAATTTAAAAGCTTCCTGCTAATATGATTTATAAGTTATTAACAATGCTGATCTAGAAGCATCCGTTGCTCTTGCAAGAGCTTGATCAATGTTCTTCTGATTTTCAGGTGTCATTTTATCCATAAATGGAGGGATTGTGTATTTTGGGGAGGCAGTGGGTTGCAACACTTTCTTACTTGAAGATGCTGCTGGTGAAGCAACACTTTGTGATGATCCAGAAGTGGCAGAAAGAGTGCGTCTGGAATGAGAACACTCGAGGGAAAAGCTACTTGCACATTCATTATGGTCCTCATCATTTCATTCTATAAAGTATTTTTTAAAGGCTAAGTTCACCTTTTCTGGCAGAATTTCACTTTTCATAATAAATAGAATCCTTTTGTAATATCATTTCTACCCCATCCATTCCAATGTTCTTATATGTCACTTCATCCACGGAAGCCTTGAAATATCATGTTTCTGTATGAGGTTTAAAAAATGATTTCTGCTTGCATAACTTCCTGTAGTCATCTCCCATCATTCACTGTGTTGTTGCATCACAGAAAAGGGTGTGATATTGTGTGTATTACCAGACTGGACCACACCTCCCTCATTACTATACCACCACCACATGGACTTTAACTGTACTGTTTTATTTAAGCACACGAGACTCCATCTCGAATCTTGAAATGTGTCTGTGCCCTTCAACTAACACACAGACTAAATTTGCTCTCTTGCTCTCTCTCCCCCTTCTTTCTCAAGGTTTTAGTTTTGCAACTCTTAGGCATAGCTGATGACATGAAATGTAACATTATTCTATTCGCTAGTTTTTAATAACATCTCACACCACTCCCTTTCTTATCTTCTGTATAAAATAGAATGTAATAATAAAATGTGTTAGAATGGATACTTTTAACACAGTGATTGTGTCCTGTGAATCTGTTCCTGCATATGCAGAATTAAGTTTTATTTGTAAGTGTCTTAACTAGAAATATCCATAACAGGCTTTGCGAGTCAGATACCAAGAGTCTCTAGAAGGAACTGTGCTCTGATCAGGACCATGGGGAATGCAGCCCTCTAAATGCTGACTAGGTTGGTGTCTTGCAGAAAGGATTGATTGTGGAGGTTAGTATACTGTATATTTATGTATTGTTTATTAGAAGGTATTTCATGCATATTGGTAAATGTTTATACAGGGTGCAGCAACATAACTTCCTTTTTTGAAATGCGTGCCATTCAGGCTGTAGCGGCCATAGTGGGGCGGGAGTGGTCTCAGGCGACAGGCGTAGTTCTAAAGTTTTTGAAATCAATTGTTACGTGGGTCACTACGTTCAGACAAACCGCGAGTACGACAAGACGAAGAGCTGGAGTCCCTCGACCCATCAGATCACCAGAGAACATCGAAGCAGTGAGAGCTTCAATCTTGCGATCCCCGCA